AATACTTAGATAAGATAGAGAAGGCAAGCAATCATCAAAAGGGGAACTTAGACAAGTCACCAAACAAATACGTACTTAGATAATCAAGTAAAGATATGATAAGAGATGATAAAATATCACACAAGGATGACAAGACATCAAGAATCAATGATGGTAAAACATCAAATAGAAGATGACAAAAAATCAAGTAAACAAGCACATAGGTGGATACCTAAGCAAGAGATGATTAGACACCACACAAAGATGATAATGCATAAAGTGTTAAAGCAAAGGAATACATGGTAAAACATCAAGTACACATGCATTAAAATGATAAAACATCTAATTCCAAATAAAGTAGAAGGATAATAAAACATTATTAAACACACAAGTCAATATGGTAAAACACAAAAGAGATGGAGATCTCACAAACAAACTTGAAGAAGTGAAGAAGGAAAGCTAGAGAGAGCAGTGATAAGAAATCAAAGATGCATGACATGAAAGAAAATAAAAGTATAACATAAGTTCTGGTCCTATCATTTTAAACACCTTAGACTATCCTAAACATATGAACATGGCTCAAGAAGTATAGAAAATTACCTAAATAGGCATGTAGAAGTGCAAGTGTGGATTAAGGAGAAAAAACTTCAACACATGTCAAAAGCATCAATCAAAATGAGATACAAGAGGTGTATACCTAAGTATAAACATGGTTAAAGACATAAAAAATTATCACCAAGAGATTACATGTTAACAAACATCATCTTAAACAAACAAGTAGGCATAGTAGAAAGAGATGAAGTGTAGATAAGTGACAAGATAAGACGTGTATCTCAAGTAAGTGGAAAACCATGGATAGGAAAAGATATGGAATCAAGAGGACATAAAGAAGATTTGGATACATCCCTAAGGGTCATTCTTCAAGGGTATGGATGTAGAAACCATAAAAGAGAACAATTATGCAAATACACTAGCTAGTGAAGATTTAGGAGCCAAGTGCCTAACATATCATGTTATAAGGAAGTGAGGTGAAGTGAAAGGGATGAGTGAGTGTATAAGTCATAGGTGAACACATAAAGGACTCATTTTTATCACATATACACACTTGAGAAATATTCACATCAAAGTCATACAAGGAAAGGATCACAATCAACCCTAAGTGGACATAAGTCCTCATGCACTGCTAACAAGCAAACAAAATGGAAAAGGAGTGGTAATTTGAAGAAGAAGATGTAAACATAGACATTTTATACACTTATAACAGACCTCATGTTCAATAATAAGTTCAATTAGTCATTGAAAATATGGCTCAAACACCAAGGTACACAAACTAGCATTAATCAACATTGTGATGTGAAGTGGAAACAAGTTTGTGATCAATTGAACATGGCATAATGTGTCAAGTAAGAGTGAATTCATAAGTAAACACTTAAGGTTAAAACACACCATTGACATATAAACATATCTAGGGAATCACTACTAAAGCACATACAAAGGCTAGTTCAAGATTTGGTCAATACCACACCCTAACATACTCCTAAAGGCATGTGAAGCACAAGAAAGAGATAGATGAATAGGGAACATGGTTAGAGGGTCTCAAAGAACATAGGTCAGTAGAAAATGACCTCCAATATCATACCTTTAAACATCACGAGCAAAGAGAGAAAGTTGCATACATGGCACATCAGGGAAGTGACCAAAGGTTACAAGCAAGTATGTTCAAATTAAACAAGTAAAGATCAAATGATGAAAGCATAATTGAAGAATTATGGAATATGTGAATTTTATAATAATTTAACTCAACATGAGGTTCAAGAGTAAAATAACCAGTCAAAAATCATCAGATATAAAATCAATGAAGTCGCCATCAAACATTTTTTATCCCGTCGAAAGGGAAAGGTAAACATCGATTAAACCTGAAGGGATGAAATCACAGTTTTGCGACCGTAGAGACTGGGTAAGGAAGACAGTTACGCAAGGGGAAGGTATTAGCATCCCACACGTCTGTGATACTCCATAGGATCCACTTATGTTTGTTCTAATCTAAGGGTGTGTAAAATCTATGTCTAAAGTTGAAGAGCTAAAAAGAAAAGATGCTAAGGGGAATGAATTGAAAAGAGAAAACATGGGGAAAAGAAGGAAATATTAAAAAGGTCGCTCGGGTGAGCCCCATGACCAGATGCCTATGTATCCCTTTTAAGGAATCAAAGTGCCATAGTTTGGCTCACATGTTTTGGTTTGTTTGTGTTTTTTAGTTAGAAAGACAACAACAATAATCAAGATGGTGAAACATCAGACACAATGACAAAACATTGACAATAATGGTGAGACAATGACAATGATGGCAAAACATCAACAACAATGGACGAACATCAACAATGATGGAAAAACACCAACAACAAAGGCAAATCATCAACAATGATAGCAAAACATCAATAATGATGGAAAAACATCACAATTTAGATGATAAAACATCACACCTAACAATGATATTGAAAATCAAAGCAGGATAACAAACATAAGCGATGGCAAAACATCGACACAAAGATAGCAAAATATCATGGAAAGGATGGAAAAACATTACAATTTAGATGATAAAAAATAACACCTAACAATGATTTGAATATCAAAGTAGGATAACAAACATAAGTGACGGTGAAACATCAACACAAAAATAGAAAAATATCATGGTAAAGGCGGTAAGACGTCAACTTAACAAGGGTTAAAACAAAGCCAAAGGCGCACAAAAAATTAAGATTGGTTTGTAATTTTTACATTGGAGAAGGATTTAAGTTCATTAGAGATGTTTTATGATTTTCCAAGAAAAAGAAAGTTTTTGTTTTAAGATGCAATATGCAAAGAAAACAACTAAGGGAGGCTATCATAATCTCTAGCCCTAGTGTAATCATACAATAAGGGCCCTATGTCAAGGAAGAAAGGGAAATATCTCTCTAAGTGAACATACATGGATAGATATCCTAATGTCCATCTTTATGACTAATCCTACACGAGTAATCCTAAGGGAGCATGGCATATCAAATCAGTGATTTGGCAAAAGCACACAATCGGGGTATACTGACTCAAGGGATGAGGGTATGAAGAGAAAATGCTTTAGCTAAAGGGAGCGGATCACCCGAAGCAAACAAGCGAGATACTGAGATAAAATAAAAAAGAAAAGCATTACTTTAGCTAGGGGAGAAGATCATCCGAAGCAAACAAGCAGGTAGCAAAGTGTCAGCAATGGCCATTCAAGAACTCTGGACAAATGGTGGGGGTTGAGACCAAAGCCTTTTCCACGTGACCAACTTGATAACAAGAGTAGGCCCAACTCTGAAGCATTATGGTGCGTCATGAGCTAATGTTGACCCGAACGAACGGGGGTTGATTTCTAACTCTTTCCGCTCGTCTCCTTTTGAGGACTTCAATAAGGGATGGGGGAATAGATGCGAGGGCAAATGTAAAGACACATGCGTAATACCTATTTCAAAAGTAGGATTTTAAACAAACACAGATAACATACAGAAAGCGGTGAATGCTACAGTACTTTAAACAGCGACTTTGAGCACACTCTCTTTATTTCCTACTTCTCATGATCTCTAGAAAAGTAGTAAAGTGCGAAAAAGATAAACCACATTTAGAATGATACCAAACGAACAAGATTTCGTAGCACAACAAGCCAAGCAGAGAAACCCGAAAAACTTCATGCAAGCTAGCATCAATACCAAGAGAATAGCCAGAAACCGGCAATGTGAAAATAGATCACATGTGCAATGCGTGCATCAGAAGCATCCGTATCACAGACAATATACCTGCACAAGAATTCACAATCCAGAAAAAAAATACAAGCATTTCTCATGTAATGAAAATCAATATAAATTGTGTTGGAAGCGAATCTCAAATCAATAAATAAAGTGAAATACAAATACTTTTCAATCGAAATAAACGATCGAAAACTCTCTTGAAATACCTTGCACAAGCCCACAAGATGAATTTGTAATAACAATGAGATAATAATCGATATTAAGCATCTATATCACAAATTAATTTCTAAAATCAATTAAAATTCTCTAAAGTCTTTATTGATTTTACAAATTTTATTATAAATCAATATAGAAAAACGTATAATAAAAAAAATCCTAAATCTATAACAAGAAAAAAAAGGAGTACCAGGGGGGTGAGCCTGAACCCAGAGGTGTAAGCTAGCTTCAGGCACATGGGCCTGGTCTAGAAGTAAGTCCAAGTCCCTTTTTTTGGTTGCAAGCTTCCAAGTGTGTCCAATAATCAGTTGTTATGGGCTTTGGGGGGAGGTGCAAACAACCAACGAAATCTAAGCTCAGTCCAACATTGAACAAACTTCCATCAGATTTTGGCATTATTCTTAATTATTATTGTTAAAATAAAAGAAGAACTGAACAAAACGGTCCAGTTTGTCTAGTAAGAGCTAGGGTTCACATATGCCCCTTCAACTTCATTCAGAAGTTCTTCTTCTCTTTGAAAGAAAACAGTGGCGCCTATCTCTTTCCTCCTCCTCCGTCTACTTCATCTCCGATCAAATCCTTATCACATCGCCACAGTGCTCGTCCTCCTCAACGCTTCGATACAACTTCGTCATCGATAGCGCTCCAAATTTTGACTTAATTCTCTGATATTTTTCCACGGTTTTTATTTTCTATTTTCTTCTATTGCCTTTTTTTATTTAAATATGTTGAGCTGGAAATTGATGCAAGGTCACTGTTTATCTTATGCAGAGCTCGTGTAAATAGTAAATCTATTTGGATAATAGGGAAGGCTGATGAATTGGTTTAGGTTTGGGTTTTGCAGGACAATGGTCTTGGATGGAATTATTATTGTAGGTCTGAATATATCCCTTTTTGATTTGTGTTTAACTGAATGATCAGGGCACGGTTTGGAAATAGACGGAAAATCTGCTTGAAATTATTCCTTGGCATAAACATGAAGGCACATGATGAACAAGACGGGCGAAGATAACTTCTAAAAGTTGATCAAGATTAACATTAGAGTTAAGGATCAATATTTGTAATTATTCGAATTCCAACGATAAACATAAATTTATAACACACTTTTCCATTGTAAGTTTGACATTCTAAGTCTCTCAACCAATGAATCTTGAATGAAACTTGTATGAATAGAAACTTGAATGATTTCTTGGTATATTTTGTAACGATGAATGAAGAATTTTGTTGGAAATTTTGAATCGCATTGAGTGATGAATAAAGATGCATCAAGTGAACTTGGGTGAGAAATTTGAACTAAACCTTGAATCTTGTCTTGTAATTTATTACTCCCAACTGAACAAATCTTCCAAACTTAGAATATGGATCAACATGTCAAACTTGAACCAAAATAGTCACTTGTATGGATTTTGAACCACTCTTAAACTCGAAGAAACTTGAATAATTAATCTTAATATTTTCATGACAATGAAAGAAATTTGAGATAATTTTGGATGATCTTTATTCTTTTGTAATGAATGAATAAATATCCTCAAAACATTATAGGGATTTGAGCCTTGTTAGCGAATTTGGATGATGATAAATTTGACTCTTGATTATGGATAGATCTTGAACAATGGATGATGAATAATGTGATAGTATATGAATGAACGAATATGCCTTTGTTACTTGATCTCAAGAAATCCAAATATATTTTCTTCCCAACCTCGCAAACATTTAGCGCTTCAATTCATTTGAAACAATCCAAGTTCAAAAAGATAATGAATCCAAATTCAATTCAGTTCTCGAATTCGAAATTAAATCTCAAATTTGAACCAATAAGCCTTAAATAAATGAAGGAAACAAAAGATGTATTGATCACAATCTCATCCTTCATACCATAATTCACCTCAAACAATAAGGTTTCTTGAACTGGTGATTAATGAATCATTAAGAGAAATCTCCATGCCCTTCCGTCTTGACGAAATCCCCTTATAACACTAACACTAGAAGAAATAAGTATTAGAAAATCATTTAGATGATGATGAAAATTTTGACAAGGAATAACAATGTCTTGATTAGATAGTAACTCGTAACGAATGACCAAAACTCTATTTAAGTAAACTTCTGACGATGCCCTAATCTTATGAGGAATATAACGAAATAAACTCTAATCTCTAGAGATGCATAGGAGAACAATGATTCAAGAATCAACACTTATAATTTCAAAACATTTGATGATTCAAAAAGACAAATGAGATGTATTGAAGTATGCGAAACCCTTGTAGCTTGAGATACTCAAGGATTGAGGACATGAGACCCTACTTGCATAGATTGTCAACACAATCACCTTTTATAGCTTGAAAAAGACCATGAAGCCAAGAACACCTTAATCCCATATCAAATGCATGAATGTATATGATGAAACATAAGCCATATAAGCTAAAATGAAGAGGGAAAATTTTGGGGTGCAACACCTGCCCCTATTCAATCTTCTTAAACTAGATAAGTGAGAAAATGCGACAACTTTCGAATTTTCAAGGTGGAATAGGATTGAATACTAAAAGAACCAAAAAACTTGCGCTCTGAATTAAACAAAAACACATAAACACTGATGTTGTACCCCAAAATTTTCCCTCCCATTTTTTAGTCAAGATGCTATCCCAGGGTTTCTTTTTTACTCAATTTGGCTCAAAAGTTGATCAAACAGATTTTTCTTCCTAGGCAATCAGTCAGGAATTAGGGTTTTGCACTTCTCAAAGGTTTGCCTAATCCATGGCCCAGATAACTACAAAGGCATTTGTGTGATCTTATTTGTTTTCTTAACTATAATCTTCTAAAGATTGATGTTACTTTTGAGGGCATATTCTGTTTGAATAAGGTGAAAAGTTTAAGGCTATCATCTTTAAGAAAATCATGATTTAGGGTTCAATTAATCACATAGGTTTGAGCTTCTAAACATTTATTTTGTTTAAAAGTGCAAGATACATGATCCATCCTATCATATTATGTTTACTTGAAGTGCAAGTTATCAAGCTAGGATGCTTATTCAAGACAATCAAACCAAGAATTGCAAAATTAAAATAAAAAAACTCAAATGTTTTGGACAATAAATTTTCATTGTTACTCAAGCTTTGTTCATTACAGTTTGGTGGGTCTTTTTTACAAATAATTACAAGTGATTACAAAAATTACAAATGCAAAGTATAAATATACAAAGGAAGTTTTCTTCTTTATCAAGACTCCTTGCTTCATCCTCAAGAAATCTCCCATCTGCTAAGCCTTTGTCTTGCTTGCCAATTGTTTGTACATGTGACAGAAGAAAAGAAAAAATTAGCAAAGCATCATGGAAAATTCCAAGCAAGAATTAATGGTTACAAGATTTTTTTCATTTCATCATGAGAGTTTATATTTGGAATCAGATTAAGAGGGGTTTATTTTTTAATCATGGGCCATTTCTCTCAATTGCAAATCACAATAGGTTGCATTTTTTTGGTTCACAAAAAAAGAGAAAAGGAAAATTGCTAACATTGCCTGAAACAAGCAGCAGACTGCCAAGCACAACAAATGAATAAGCAAACAAAAGACAAGTCGATGCAGCCCCAATTAAAGCAAAGGTAGTCTGCTAAGGCAACAAAATAGAAAACAACAGTATGAACAAAAATAGGCTGCAAGCAGCAATACTGTAAACATCAGCTACACTTAAAGCAGACCAACAAGCAACTCAAAGCAAACAAAGAGAAACAACAAATTAGCCATGGCTCACTAAAACCCTATGCCTCATCATTTCCCTGAGAATATAAACCCTTCAAAAATGCATAAAAAGCAAAATGCTTTATCTCATAAAGAGAGGAAAGAGGAAAGATATCACTTAGCCAGCAAATGCCAAGACAAGCAGGTTGCTATAAGCAATAGTCCAAGAAGACTTGCTCTAAAAGCCTCCCTATGCTGTCCATAGCAGTCCAAAAGCCTGTCCAAAATTATGCACAAAAGCATGTCTACATAAACCATAGCAACTAGTCTATAATACAGTCCAAAAAATGCCCAGACTTGCACCAAAATGGAAACAGTCCAAGCTGCACTCAAAAGCCAAAGACTAAAAAAGGGCCAAAACTGTCAAAATTCAAAGTGATTTTTCCCTCCTATTTTTTTTACCCTAATCAAAGAACAAGTTTACTGTTTTATAGAGGAGAGAACCATCAGATTAAAGGGACATATACATCACCAAGCAAAATAGAAGCACATAATGAGCAAAAAGATCAAAACCACAAAAACTTAGAACAAGAGGTTTAACAAAAAAATTTGTTCCAAACCAATTGAAACATCATCAAACCATCTCCAAACCAACTGAAATATCACAAAAACATTACAAAGAAACCAGAACAAAATATCATCAAACCATCTCCAAACCAGAATAAAATATCATCATACCATTTCCAAACCACCAGAACATGAACAAACCATCTTCAAACCCCAACTAAAACATCACTGAAGCCTCACAAAAAAACCAGATACAAAACTAGCAAAAATATCAAAAGCCACAAAAACTTAGAACAAGAAGTTCAACAAAAATTTGTTGTTTCAAACCAACTAAAGCATCACCAACACCATCATCCAAACAACATAAAACAAAGAAAATAACGAAAAACACAGAACCAAAAGTCCATTATTCCAAAGTTGTCATCAAACCCAGCAAATCAATAGAAAACCAATAAACAACAAGAACCCTAATCCGATAAATAGGGTAATACAAGTTCAGAAGAAGAAAAAGTAGTACAAGCTCAGAAGGAGAAAGAAATCGCCCACAACACAAAGTCAGAATCGTCTTACCAAAAAGAACGTCAGGAGGTAAGTAGGGTTATAGATCAGGACCTCACCAAGCGATCTCTTTCTTCTCTTTCCTTCCTTCTTTGAATCTTCTATTGTATGCGTCACTAGCTTCACCGATTTCATCAAACAGAAACTAGGGTTTCCTTTTTCCCCTTTCTAGATTTAGAGCCATCAAGTGGAAATATGTAGGAATAAGTCACAAATTAGCAACTAACATTAAGAGAAGATCAGAAAAATGTAAGAAAAGTAGAGTTTTGAGACACGCCGCCGCCGTCACCGCTGTGAGGTGATTTCCGGCGCGACCAAAGGGTCTTCTCCGGTGAAGACCCATAGCAAGGGAGAAGAGAGAGGACAGAGCGTTGAAGAGAGATAAAGAAAGTGGTGTTATGAAGCCTGGCTTCATGATTAAGTGTTTTTTTTATTAACAACAACGCCTCTGTCCAATCTGGTGGTGACATTTGTCACCACCTCTTTAGTTGTCCGGAGTGATTCCCTGCTTGCCACCCCATGATAGTATGAGGCGCCCTCATCATCTATCCCCTTGATCGGTTATCCCACCCTTTCAACGTGTCTTAGACGCATGCCTTTGGTACACCTCCAGGGAGTTGCTGTACTAGATTAGCCAGAAGCATTTGGGCTTACTATTTTTTGCACCCCCTTTTTTACTTATGTTACAGGCCCATTTCTACTTTCTTCTTTATATTTTTTGTTTGTTAATATTTTCTTTTTTTCATTATTTGATTTTTATTTCTTCATCATATATTTAAAAAAATGTAAATAAATTAATATTTGTTTTAAATAATTATTAACTTTAAAATCATTTTTGTTTGACATTATTAATTAAGTCCTTAATTAATTTTATCAAATGAAAAGAGTTTTAACTTAAATAATTATTTAAAGGTCTGGACTTGTATTGTGTGATTTAAATATTTATTTCTTACTGTTACCCCCATTGATTAATTTGTACCCCCATTCCAGAAGCTCTGTAATAGTGTAGAATTTCAATTTCGGCATTTTTATTGTTTTACTTATTACTGTATAGTAATTTGGCGTGTATGGCAAGATCAAAAAAATCAATCGCTAGTTAACATAATTTCGAAGATCAAATTAACTTGAATCAAAAACACTTCTTCACAAGCGCACCTCTAGGGTAACCTCGCTCGTTGCCTCGGAAATATAGTCATGTCCCTCGAGTATGAGACGTTTTAGCAATGACCCTTCGATAAAAAAGATCGTAGTCCCTCGATGACCCTCGACGTTTCCTTCGATAAAATGATCTCGTCCCTTATAAAAATTGCTAAAGCGTCAAATAAATTGCTTTCGATGACTGTAAAATTGACCCGCGCCTGTCCCTTGACATCCAATGATGAGGCTTCTTACCAAATCAATAGTAAGATAGCAACATTAAAAGGAGGAAGAAAATAACTTTGAGACCTTTCGAATAGGTAGAGTCGCTCATG